AGTGATACTGTTTATCGTCTAAGTCGGTACCTGTTACTCACAGTGATACTGTTTATTGTCTAAGTCGGTATCACTGACCTGTAGCAATAACATCGGTTTTCAGTTTTGTTCTGAGCCAGTTGTCTGTGAGCTGGGTCCCCATGTACATTTCAATGGTTGGAGTCCTAATGTGGTGTTACAGGAATGCAGAGTTAGTTGAACCACAGAGTCGACGGTTCAAACTCACCAGCTGCTCCTCAGAAACTGGGTCCTATGAGTCAGAGTCAACTAGACGCCATTAAACAATAGCATCAATGATAATAATAGTCCTGTAGCATTACTGAGCCTGCTTCTCTGTGCATTGAGTTTACTATGCTCTGCTGCATTGGGAGGTCTCCTTGAACTTAGGTTTGATTTCAGAGCCAAGCTTTTAACACACGGTACATCATTAGCATGACTAACCGTCCCGCTTGCCTGGGACTAAGAGATTTCCTGGGATGGACTGTCAGTTTTCAGCCCCTACAGCTGTACAGGCGTACCACCGAGACCATTGTGGGTTCGGTTCCAGACCACTGCCCTAAAGCAAATTTTGCATTAGAGTGAGAAACATGAATTTTCTGGTTTCCCAGTGCCTATAAAGGTGACGTGGACACTAGACTGTATGTAGTCTATTACATGTGCAATAGCATGATGAAAAGGTGTGAAACATTGAGAGAATGACAAAGATGGGACACACAGAGGCAAAATGAACACACAGGAAAATGGCGCCAATAGACTTGTTTGACGCAGGGTTGTCACAAACCTTCCATGTGTAAAAGACACGACAAAACAAAAAGACCCCAGCAATATCTGCAAAGCGAAATAAAGCGATACCACGAGGCTGTCTTGTGCTTCTTGTTGTATCCTATCAGGAGGCAAAGTATCTGCTTCTCCGTGTGCGTGACGTTAGGCTTGGTGAGACGTATCTGGCTGGCAGCCTTTGCTGTCATAAAGTTCCCATCAGGACTGAAGGACTCGATGGGCAAAAACTAGTGAATGATCAAAACTAGTGACGCATCAAAAGAAGATGAGAAGAATGCAGTCACTGCACCAAAAAGAATTGGTTGATGGTCAGCCATTTCCAGAGGAAGCGTCTGATCAAGAGCCAATGTTACTGAAGGAAGAAGTCCAAGGTGCACTGAAGGCATTGGCAAAGAACAAGCCTCCAGGAATTGACAGAATACAAATTGAAATCTTTAAATAAACTGATGCAGCACTGGAGGCACTCACTCAATCAATTATGCCAAGAAATTTGGAAAACAGCTACCTGGCCAACTGACTGGGAGAGAGCCATATTTGTGCCCATTTCAAAGAGAGGTGACCCAATAGAATGTGGAAATCATTGGACAATATCATTAATATCTCATGCAAGTAAAATTTTACCAAAGATAATTTAGAAGACGTTTGTAACAGTACAACAACAGGGAACTTCCAGAGATTCAAGCCGGATTTAGATGAGGAAATAGAACGAAGGATATCATTGCTGATGTCAGACAGATCTTGACTAAAAGCCGAGAACACCAGAAAGATGTTTCCCTGTGCTTTATTGACTATGCAAAGGCTTTTGACTGTGTGGATCATAACAAGTAATGGATAACATTACAAAAAATGGGTATTCCTGAACACTAACTTGTGTTCATAAGGAACCTGTACATAGACCAAAAGGCATATTAATTATTCAAACAGAACAAGGGGATACTGAATGGTTTAAAATCAAGAAAGATATGCTCCAAGGTTGTATCCTTTCAGTATACTTACTCAATTCAATGTATACTGAGCAAATAATCCAAGAAGCTTGATTATGTGAAGAACATGCAATATACTGATGATACAACCTTGTTTCCTGAAAGCCAAGAGGACTTAAAATTTTACTTACTGATGATGATCAAAGAAGACTACATACAGCCTTTTTGACGACTGTGGGGCAGGCTTGCAGGGTATACCCTTTGGTTGGTTGATGATACATGGAGGGGATTGTAACCATGGCAATGAAACGATATACCATAGAATGAATGTAAAGCTAATGTTCTCCCATGTAACCATGTAAGCTATCATATAATTCACAATAAAACATAAAAAAAAAAAAAAAGACTACAGCCTTTAACATGAATTATACCTCAATGTAAAGAAAACAAAAATCCTCACAACTGGGCCAATAAATAACAGCATGATAAATGGAGAAAAGATTCAAGTTGTCAAAGACTTCATTTTGCTTGGATCCACAATCAACACTCATGGAAGCAGCAGTCAAACAAAGTATTGCATTAGGCAAACCTGCTGCACAAGAAAGTCTGCGGGTCAAGTGCAAAGATACCAGTTTGAGGATTAAGGTGCAACTGACCCAAACCAAGGCATTTTCAATTGCCTCCTATGCTTCTGAAAGCTGGACAGTGGATAAGGAAGACTGTAGAAGAATTGATGCATTTGAGTTATGGTGTTGGAGAGGAATATTGAAAGTATCATGGACTGCCGTAAGAGCAAACAAACCTTTGATGGAAGAAATACAGCCAGAATGCTCTTTAGAAGCCAGGATGGCAAGAATTAATCTTCATACTTTGGATGGACGTACTATCAGGAGGGTCGCGTCCTTGGAGAAGGACATCATGCCTAGTAAATGGAGGGTAAGTGAAAAAGAGGAAGATCCCAAGGAGATGGATTAGCCCAGTGGTAGCAGCAGTGGGCTCAAGGGTGACAATCGTGAGGATGGCCCAGGACCGGGCCGTGTTTCATTCTGTTGTGCACGGGGTTGCTATGAGTCGGAGCCCACTCCAAGACATCTAACAACAAACAAGAACAGGTTCTGGGGCCCCTCATCCTGTGGCTTAATTATGGTATAATTATGAGCAATATTAGTCCCTCTTGATCTCACATTTCCTGTCTTAGGTTGTTTTCCCAGCAGGAGTGCTGGATAGGGACTCAGATGCTTAAGACTTGGTGTGACCGGGCTCCTCCAGAAATTCTGCAAGGGGGCAAGGGAACAGACCAAAGGGAGAAAGTGCTTCCGGTGAGGGAAAGGCTGGCCCATACTTGCCGCTCAGGGGGATTCCGGAGCTGACCTTGCTCTGGTGCTCTGCAGAATTGCTAGCTTTGTGGCAGCCTGCCAGCTCTTTTACCTCCTAACAGCCCCTCAGGGGGTGGGGCAGCTGGGACTAATTAGCAGACAACAGTCATGGCAGTGAGGGATGCTGGGCAGGGCCCCATTAGCAAGATTCCACCACCCACCTGCCTTTCTCTACTCAGGGATTTCAGCACCCGTGGATCAAAACCAAACCCACTGCCTCCCTGTAAAACAGAGTAGAACTACCCCACAGGGTTTCTGAGACTGTCAGTTTTCCTGGGAGCAGACACCTTCCTCTTTCTCCTATGGATGCATTTGAACCACCAACACATGCTTAACCCACTGTGTCACCAGGGCGCCAACCATTGATCAGAAGATGCCATTTCATCGCCAGGTGACCTGGCGAGGCTGGAACTGGTTGAGTTCACAATAGTGGAGATTAACACAGCCCCATCTCTGCACCAGGTCTGCTTGCTCTACAACAAAGGTGGGGATCCCCTCTATGGCTACTGCCACCTCAAGGACCAATGCAACAAGTTCCATGTGTGCAGGGCGTTCGTCAGGGGGGAGTGCAAGCTTCCGAACTGCAGGCGCTCTCACCAGCTGGTCCACACCGCTGCCCTCCCGGTGATTGAGGACCAGGGCCTGAACCTTCTGAGTGTTGTAAATTTCCAGATCATTGCCACCTACAAGCACCAGACGCTGCACCAAATGCTGGAGAATCAAGGTAAGAGTGTTGAGGTGGACAGCGCCCACTTGGGGCTGCAGAGAAGGAAGAATAAAGTAAGTCTGGGGAGGAAGCATTATGGGTCCATCGCTGCTTTGCCCTCCAGAAAGCTTAGGAGTGTCCACATTGCATAAGACCAGTGGGCCCAGACTCTTGGCAACTTCATGTGTGTCAGAGTACAGTGTGTTCCCATGGGGTTTTCATTACCCGATTTTCAGAAATTCACTAGACCTTTCTTCCTCCCATCTCTAGGCCCTGTGATTACCTTCATGTGGTCTTGTTAGTGGGTCTCGCCTAACCGTGAAATAGTGACTTTCTGCATGCTGATGCATGTTTTTTCTTACCTATAAAATACAGACTGTCCGCATCTAGTGTGTCTCTGATGTTCGGTTAGCTGGACTGATCTCCCATCGTAAAGTGGGACGAATTGGGAAATCTCATCTGTTTCTCTCATTTCTAGACAATTCCGCTTCTGAGAGACAAGGCATGCATGGAGCTGGGGGCCCGGTCTCCACCCGTGCAGCCCAGGAGCCAGCCCCAGTAAACCCCAAAGGGCATCCGTGAAAGGATGACGCTTGTCGGCTGGTAAGTCTGAAAACAAGGCTTCTTTCCCATTTGAATTTCCAACGATGCCTTCCTTTAGTCACTTATTAATGTTGGTCCTGGTGCTACAGTGGTTAAAGCTCTTGGCTGCTAACGGAAAGGTTGGGGCTTGGAACCCGGCAGCTACTTCATAGGAGAAAGAGTTGGCAGTCTGCTTCCGTAAAGATGACAGCCTTGGAACCCCTGGGGGCAGGGGCACTAGGAGTTGGGATGGACTCTGTGGCTGTGGGTTTGCTTTGGGTTTTGTCCTAAGAATACCTGCCTTACAGGCAGTTGTGAGAATTGAAGACGGGATAAAACCAAGGGGGGCGTGGAGGCTGAGTTGGATGTTGGACACAGAGGAGTGAGACGAGAGGCAGATGGACAGGGTCCAGGGCAGGCCCTGGAGAAAACAGCACCCACCTGCAACCTTGCTCATGGGGCAGCTTTCTGTGGACATTGCTCTGTGACTTCCCACCACACCCACCTGTCCACTTGGCATTGTGGTTCGGTACGCTCTGTTTTCCCTCACTCTGTCTCTAACACCTTTTCCTGTCTGTTCGCTTCTCATTGTTCTTAGGCCTGGATGCATTTAATCAAGCTAGCATCTATCTAACTTGATTTATCTGGGATATTTAGCTTCTTTCTAGCACATTTTGACTATCGCTTTTCTTAAAGTTCCCACCAGATCACATTTCTAAAGACTCTTTCATTTAGCTCCCAGGTGCTCAGAAGACAGCCGTCTTTTTATTTTCATTCCTCTAATGTGTGCGACTCGACGGCACGTAACAACAAAACAACAACAACAAATGTGTGTGTGAGTGAATCTGTGGTTTGCATTTCTGTGTGTCCTTTCTCATAGGCATGTTTTTAGATGTCCTTTTGTTTCTGGGATCTGCCCTTCACTGTGCTGGTGTGGGATGGTTACCAAACCAAAACTGAGCCCACTGCCATTGAGTCGATGCAGACTCAGAGAGACCCTGTTAGACACAGTTGAACGGCCCCTTAGGACTCCAGAGCCTCATCTTTCTCCCCTGGAGCAGCTGGTGAGTTAGAACCACTGACCTTGTGATTAGCAGTCAAGCTTTTAAATCCATCCATTCTCTGCTCCTTGTTCTCCAACTTTTGTGGCTCCATCCTCAGCCAGCAAGAGGGAACGTGTGAACCTGCCATTTACGACCTCAGTCTGTCCACCCAAGCCCAGCTGTTGTAGTTTGTACTGGTGTGGTCCATCTATCCCTCTTCCAAAGGATCACCAAATACCTACATACCTGAAACCTGTTCTTGCTGAATCAGTTCTGACCACAGCAATCCTATAGGACAGGGTTAGGTTTCCAAAACTGTGCCCGTTTACCAGGCAAACTGCTGTATCTTTTCTCCCATAGAGCAGCTGGTGAATTTAAACTAACTGTTCAGTAAGCAGCCAGAAGCTTAGCTGTTGAGTCACCAGGGATCCTTAAAATCCAACATACCTCACCCATGTCCTGTGAATTCCCTCTTCCACTTCCTCCCTCCCGCCCCCTGAAACATCCTGTGACATCTCCCCCTCAACATCCCATGAGGCACATTTAGATGTTCTAGCCTTGGTTTTCAGAGCCGCAGCATTGTGAACTCCTTTGTTGTGTTTGCTGTAAAATACTCCCCAATGTCCAGGTGTAAAGTCATTTAAAAATAAACCCTAACTGTCCTTCCATCACATAACATTTGAGAAATAGGGAGTGTTTTCCTAAAGCTGAAGTGATATAATTCACAGAAATGTTTATGGTGAACTGCTGTCTTGTCTATGAGGGCAGGGGGATGTTTGTAAAATGGTTTAAAAGAAAGAGCGTTGCATTTTCTCTGAAGTGGGTCCTGGGAGCCTTGCAGTTCACAGAACCTCTTCCTTTGTTGTCTCCACAGCTCCTGATGTCTTTGATGTGCCTTGGATTTTGCTTCTTTTCACCTCGTCCTGATTTCAACCTGGTGCTAATTTTTAAAAAAACATTATTTTTACATTTTATTATGGTTAGTTACATGTCATCATTTTACCACGTGTATTTTTGTTGTAACCCAAAACTGAACCCACTTCCAGCAAGCCAATTCCAATGCACAGTGACGTCGTAGGCAGAGTAGAACTGTCCCATAAAGCTTCATGGCTGCCATTTTTACTCACGTAGGCTAGTTGGTTTGAACCGCTAACCTTTTAGCTATCACCCAAGTGCTTAAACCTTTACACTACCAGAACCCCTTCTCTCTTTTATTGTAAGCCAGTTTAAATCCTTAATGGAAGTAGGGTAGTGTATTAACACTCATCTTTTCCACATTGGGGAGTTGATGGATTTTTACATGATTCTGTTCTTACTGTGTATTTTATAATTCTGATTTTATATTTGAAGTTAGTGATCCTCTATAATATTTGTGGCAATATTTTATTCAATTCCATAATACAGGTAGTACTGACTTATGAAGGGGTTCCATTCCAACAACTCCACTGTAAGTTGGTTCTGACCTAAGTCAAGTACCTCATTTAATAAAAAAAAAAAACTAGTTTTCATTATTATTGTCTCTTATTGTCAGGTATAAACCCTGTCTTTGTCTATGGGATTTGGCACAAGAGTGATTTCATCAGCACCCATTACCCACTGCAACATTGTATATAGTACTTAGCAACATTGTACATGGAGCTCTGGTGGCGTAGCGGTTACGAATCGGGCTGCAAACCTTAAGGTCAGCGGTTCAAAACTACCAGCCGCTCCACGGGAGAAAGATGAGGCTTTCTACTCCCGTAAAGATTTACAGCCTTGGAAACCCTGTACAGGGTCGCTATGGGTCGGACCCGACCCGACGGCACTTCACAACAACAATGTGCATAGTACTTACAACTAACAATGTTGTTGCTAAGTGCTCACCAGGCGTTTGCAGCTGGTAACGACCTTGTGTAGGGTTTCTGAGGCTTTGAATGTTCGCAGGAGTGCATGGACCAAAAAAAACCCCCCAAACCAAAGGACTGTCATAGTGTAGTTTGTTGTGACGTAAGTGTACTGCAGACTGCTTGCATTGTATTTTAATCTTCGTTCAGTTGGTACTTATTTTATATAATACATTATATATAATGTTGTTATTGTATTTAAGTGCCATCGAGTTGGTTCTGACTCACAGCAATCCTATATAGGGTTTTCAAAGAACAGCTGGTGGGTTTGAACTGCTGACCTGGCGGTTCGAAGTCCAGTGCTGAGCCTACAGAGCCATACCAGGAGTCCATTAAATACAATTGTTGTTGTTGTTGATAAGTACCATCAAGTCGATTCCGACCCATAGTGACCCTGCATAGGGTTTCTAAGGAGTGACTGGTGAGCTTGAACCTTGCAGTTCAATAGAAACACTTTATATAAAAGAACCTTCTATCTTTTCTTCTGATGACTCAGTTCTTAGAGAGATGTCCTCCCTCTGGAGTTCGGGGTATTTGAATCTTTGGGGACTTATGGGGGTGATGAGGGAGCTGTTATCTGTAGGTTCTAACGTGTGCTACATGAAATTCCTAATGGCCCTGTGTTTTCACTCTTCCTCTCATTTCCTTATTTGTGTGTGTTAATATCTAAGCCCAAAGATGGAAAATTGTCTAATGCTGGCCCTGCTCCTCATCCTCGTATCAAATTGCTTATCCAGGGTTGGAGATTTTTTCCCCCTAGAAAATCTTTGAAATATCCATTCCTGTCTGCCTCTCCGTCCTCCCCCTGCTACCCGGCCTTGTGACAAACCCTCATCATCCTGTGTGTTTATCCCACAGATGTGTGGCTTTCATGTTCTGTGAGATGGAGGCCCTGTTTTCATTTCTGTGTTACTGTGTGGATTTCATCGCTCCCCTGGCCAGCAGTCTCAGCCCCTGGCCTTCCATCCTGCTGCCAGGCTGCCCTTTGGAAGTGCAGACCTAATCAAAGAGTTGCCGAATACCTTCATCCCTCATTGTATAGGAGACCAGCTCCCGACTGTTGGCAACCCCATGTGTGTCGTAGTAGAACTGCTCTCCTTAGGGCTCTCTGTGGTTGGTAATTTGGAAGTAGATTACCAGGCCTGTCTTTCAAGGAACCGCTGTTGTTAAGTGCCATTGAGTCGCTTCCAACCCATAACAATACTGTATAGAGTTTCCAAGGAGCAACTGGCGAGCTTGAACCTTGTGGTTCTGACCTTGTGGTTCAAAATGACTTTGCAGTCCAGTGCATTAACCCACAGCACCACACCAGGACTCTAAGGTATCTCTGCGTGGCCTCAAACCTCTACCCATAGCAGTTGACTGAAGTATCACTTTACACCATCTAGGGACTCTGAAATGTGCAGGGTGTAGTTAGCAGCCATCGAGTTAATTCTGACTCCAAGGAGCAGTTGATGGGTTTGAACCACCGACCTTGTAGTTAGCAGCCCAGTGCTTACCCTATAGCACCACACCAGGACTCCACTGTGTAGAGTAGGTGGTGGCATAAGTGGAAATACACTCAGGGGCCAGAAAGGTGATTTACAGGGAGCTGTGAGCTGAACAGAATGCAGGAGAAGTGGGAGGGGCAAGAACATGGGGTAAGAATACGGGGTAAACTGCTCAGTCTGAAAGGGGCAGTGGCCTCTTAGTTCCATGTTGGGGTGTGGACCCCATTTGCTGTGTTATCCAGGTTTCACAAAGAGGCCAGAAATCTTGATTTGAGTATGAAAATTAGTTTTTAAAGTATTTTGTAAAATGCAGCTCAATATTGTGTGGGTGGACCTACCTGCAATTTTGGAGTCTGGCATTTTATCTTGGGATCCTCTGTTTTCAAATGCTATTCCCTTTCTTAAAAAATACCCTTCCTCCTGGCATCCCTAAACGGTTATGTTCTTGACTGCCAATCAAAATGTTGGCAGTTTGAATCCACCTAGTGTACCTCGAAAGAAAGGCATGGCTATCCATTTCTGAAAAAGAATCCACTGAAAACCCCAGTGGGCACACTTCTACTCGCACACACCTGAAGGACCCA